GACTCGTCCTCGGGGCCGCCGCCACTGCCGGAGCCTGCGGCCGCTTCCTGCCGCTGCTGCCGCGGCCGCCCCGCGGAGCCGCCCCGCGGAGCCGCCCCCGGGCGGGGACAGGGCGGCGGGGACAGTCCCGCAGCGCCCCGCAGGCTGCGCGGGGGGCTGCGCTGAGCGGGTGCGTTCCACCCACGAAGGCGGAGGCCGGAGCTGCTCTCGGCTGTCACGGAACCACAGAGGGGTTGAGGTTGGAAGGGACCTCTAGAGATCATCTAGTCCAACACCCCTGCTCCAGCAGGGACACCCAGAGCACGGGGCACAGGGCAGCATCCAGGCGGGTTTGGAAGATCTCCAGAGAAGGAGACTCCACAGCCTCCCTGGGCAGCCTGTGCCAGGGCTCTGTCACTCTCACAGGAAAGTTCACAGATGGAACTGCCTGTGTTTCGATTTGTACCCACTGCCCCTTGTCGTGTCACCGGTCATCACTGAGAAGAGCTTGGCCCCTTCCTCCCTACATTCTCCCCTCACACACTTGTACTATTAATCAGATCCCCTCTCAACCTTCACTTCTCCAGGCTAAACAGGCCCAACTCAGTCTCTCCTCATACAAGAGATGTTCCATTCCCTTACTCATCTTTGTTGCCCTCCGCTGGACCCTCTCGAGAAGCTCCATGTCCCTCTTGTCCTGGGGAGCCCAGAACTGCCCCCCATACTCCAGGTGCGGCCTCACCAGAGCTGAGCAGAGGGGCAGGATCCCCTCCCTTGACCTGCTGGCAACATCCTCCTGATGCAGCCAGGATCCTGTTGGCCTCCTTGGCCAGTGGTTAAGTGAACCATAACGTATTGCAAACCCTGGTATACAGCACAGCAAGTGCTTCACCCCAAAAGCACCTGGCATGTCCAGTTCTGCAAAGGTGTCTAGACTATTTCTGGCAGATTTTATGTAGCCTGCCATTACTGTGCCCTAAAGGAGATTGCACGGCTTTCCAACCCGTTCCATCCTTTCCATTAGAAAAAGAGTTCTGATATTAAAATGGCAGCTAATTATAGCTTCTTTTCATAAAGCTCATTCTGTGGTAACAGTGGAGGTCCTGTGGGTGCCGCACCGCTTCCATAGCAGCACTGCCAGATAACCCAAAACAGCAGCAGTTTCACAGGGATCTATTTCCTCCTGAAAACGGAGGCCCCAGGCTCTTGTACATCTGGAAGAAGAGCAGTAGTGATGGAGAGTTTTAATTTTGTGCTAAGCTCCACGGTGGATTTAATGGAGAGGGTTCCTCAACTTTGGAGGACGTTCAAGCTTGTACCTACCCCTATGCCCAGCGCATAAAGCAAACAAAATGTCGGCAAAAAGAACCACACTCCATTCAGTACTTAGGAAGCCTTTGAGGGTCACAGGGTGCACCGGTGAGTAACGCTGGTGCTGTCCGGAGCTCTGGCCCTTCCTAAGCGCAGAACTAGTTCTCATTTCCCTAGTTTGCCCCTGCATGCGTCATCACTTTAGTACCACACCTCCAGACCAACCTCCCCAGGCTGGCCTGTCTATTTTTAGATGAAGGCAGAGTTTGACTTGTGCACATTCATCTGCAAGGGGCAGCTCATGTCAAGCGTCAAATTTTCAGAAAAGTAACCCTGTTCAAAAGACAGATATAAAACAAGTGTGTGAGGCTGGGAGTGCAGTTTGGGAGAGGCAGAAGAGCCTCGCGGATAACATATGCTGTTTCAAGCTAGGTTTCCTCTTTGAGTCTCAAGGCAATTTTCTACACCTTGCAGTACAAACTGAATAAACAGTTTGTTTCCAATGCAATAAATGCTAAGTGCAGTCATTCCCACTCTAAAAAGTTATGGTAGGGAAACCGACATGTGTCTGGTGCATCCCTTTGTGTTCAGCCGGTTCTGAATCAACCAGCCTTGTCGTGACCAACGCCGACAGCAGCCAACACGAGGCCTCCTTGGGCAGGCTGTGACTAACAGGCTCGGGACAGCTGTGCTGAACTGGCAGGCCAGGCAGCCTGAGCACACACAGCCCATGCCCATCCAGGCTGTCACGGACCCCGAGGGAAGTGTTGCTAGGCCCGTAGTCCATAGACACTGGGACATCTCATAACTGTGGGGACATCACGTAGTTTTAGTCTTCTGTTGCCAGCTAAAGCATTACAGAAAGGTTTTAATAGGTTCTCTGAGCTTTGGCAGCAGAGAAGAAGTCAGACAATCTCCTTTATACATAACTGTGTGATACAAACATCTTGGGCATTCATGATTTACCAGCATATGCTAGAGAAAACCTCAAAATTAACTTTTGGGAGCTTTTTGTGCACAGAAGTCAGTGCTGCCAGTTATGATGCATCTTCTTGAAACGAACAAGGGAAATAAACTGATCCAAAAATGCAATCTGAAGTCATAAAGAAATCTCTTAATTCCGCTAAAGAAGAAAGGAAGAATATCCTGATCTGGAAGATAAGGTC